AATGTAGTTTCCAGGCCTCCAGTTCCTGTCATAGAAGGGAAGTAGAAATGAGCGCCATGTGTCAGAAAGGAGTACCTTCCTTAGTTATCAAGGCAGGCTGAATCCAGGTGGTCAAGGGGCTGGAAACACTAGAGTTAGGAAGAAATGGAGTGGGATGCTTGTGGATTTAAAAGCAGGACGGTTGTGCTGTCATTTCACAAAGGAGTCATTCTTTTTTAAAATCTTATTTATGTATGTACTTGATACAGGGTCTCACTATACAGCTCAGATTCCTAGTGATCCTCCTGTTTCAGCCTCCCCAGTGCTGGGATTACAGGCGTGCACAACCACACCATTTCAGTGGCCAGCTCAGTGCACCTGGGGCGGGACCCACAGGGCACATGCTGCCAGGGATCAAATCCGGGTCCTTGCACTTGCCAGGCAGGCGCTTAGACTGCTGAGCTATCTTTCCTGCCCTGGGGCCCATTCTTATGAGCTAAAAAAACAAACATAAAAATCCCACCAAGCTATATAAGCAGTCACTTATTAGGTAGCTGTTGTACAGAGTGGGACTGAGATGTAAAAGCCCCCTTAAAGTGTAGAAAACATTTTGTGGAAACCCACCCACTCACTAGTTTTTCTCCAACATTTTACTGGATGTACATTTTGCAGCAGGCACCATGAACAGAGCTGTTAGTCATCTGTGATCTCTACCCTTAGAAAGCTAATCTTTGTCATTTTTTCTTTTCAAGGAAAAGTAAGGATATTTTGGAAGTGTGGAGAATCAATCCATTGCTTCTCAGAGTATCTTCTGATGACATCTAGTCTCTTAAAATGCTACTGAAAAATGAAATCAGACTTGCTTTAAAAATTTGTAGATTTTCCTATGAATTTAAGCCTTTAGTAAAATTTGTAGTAACAACTTAACTTTAAAATTTTATTTTAGGGCTGCGACGATAGCTCAGCAGCATAACACGAAGTCCCCGAGTTTGGTGCCCAGTATCAAAAAAAAAAAAAAAAAAAAAATCAGCATTACTCATTTTTGACTTTTAATAGCCATTAGTGGTTGAGTTCTCCAGAGCAGGTAGGGAGACTGAATGCTTCTACTGGAGCTGTCAAACTGAAGGCTAGTAGACTATTTATAAAAAGATTTAGATGTGAGAAAATGCAAAGGAAATGATTTTAACTTAGTAACAGAAAGGACAGAATTGAACAAATTTTAATTCTGACAATAGCTCTCAAAAATTGTTTTGATAAATATGAAACAGTAAGTCCTGGAACAACCACCTAGCAACATGGGGGATCCTAGACAATGGGAGCTTGCAGCTGTTGTAAGAGGACATTGAATGGTGAGCTTAGCGATGCTGTATTCTTTATATTTGCAGTACCAGGGATTGAACTCAGGACTTTGCACTTGCCAGGCAAGCGCTTATTCTACTGGGCTATCTCCCCGGCCCAATGTAATATTCTAAAGTTGCTGGACTTTGTAGAACTGACAAAGGTTTTGCAAAACCAGTTATATAACTTATTATCCTGGGCTGGGGAGATAAATAACTTGTTATCCTATCAAGCAACAAGGAATGTGTTCTCAGTATCTGACTTACATGGGGGAGATAGGCAGGCCACTAGCTTTGGGACTGAAGGAGGTGGCTGCTGCAGGTTCAGTTAGGTTTTCTTAGAACTATGGCCAAGGGCATTGACAGTGGTCTTGTGTTGATTGTTCCATATCCTGCCCGAGTACATGTGGTATGAACTTCAGGACAGCCGGATGGCAGCTGGAGGAAAATCACTGTCTGCATCCCAGGGAATTCAAGTTCCATCCCAAGAGGAGCCCTCTGAGGAGCTGTCCATATGAAACAGCCACATCTGCAGTCTTACCTCACAGGGTGGTTTGGCAGGGGGAGCTGAGAACAGTGCACCATGGGTGACTTTCTAGACATATATAAAGCGGGGGGAAATTACAGGAAGCCTGACTAGTAAAGTCTGACAGTAAGGTAAGCATTTGCTAAATGGTGAAGCACCTAACGCGGGCTGTATGACAGGTGCAGAAGTGTTCTGTGCGCCTCCGACTCCTATCCTGGGTCAGCCTCAGTTGTCTAGAAGCAACGTGAACTCAGTGGAAACCAGAGAGCAAGTGGCATAATCCCTTGGTCTTCTCAAGCTCTTGTGTAATTGTGATGCAGTATTTTTTTGGCGTTTGGAACCCTCTAGGTTTCGCGCAAAGATGCGACTTCGCTTTTTAAAGGTCAGTCTGCCTAGGCTGCAGTTGTCAATGGTTTTACCGAAGATGGTATGTAAAGAAAGCCCACCAAAAAACACAACTAACATCTCTTACTAAATGCGTTACTTTTTATTACTATCTAATAAAGCTTAATATTCTTCTAAAAGAAAAAGGTTGGTTTACATGTAGTAAAATTACAAGTAGAAAGCTAAAGATAGTAGAGCTACTAGGAATAAGAGCAGAGCTAAACAATACAGAAATAGAGCAGTAAGCCGCAATAACATTAATTCCTACAAACAGCTAGCAGTGCAATAGGATAAGCGGAAAGCAGCTTTACATTAAAGTTATTTAAATACAGAAATAGCACCTTACGAAAAGAAATTGAAGAATGTAAACTCGGTAGGTAGATTCAAGTATAAAAGTTAGACCCCCAACTCTTGTACCAGAATGAATGGGCTTCACAAACCCTGGACATGTAGGGCTCACGCACCCTCAGTGCTGACTCGGCTGCGTGTCCTTAGCGGGATCACCAACAATTACGTTCTTCTGTCACTAGACTATACAATGATAGACTCAAGATTGCCGTTGCTTCTTCCCTACCTCAGATAACCAAATCTAGCTTAGCAGCTTCAGTATCATCAGTTGTTCTGTACAAGAATCATTTTCTTGACAGAACCAACCACTGATTATTTTTACATATCCTAAAGCTGTGTTACTAGGTACTGAATTGAAAAGCCATTTTTCTTAGTTTTCTATTGCTAAGTGTGGTCACATTCTCATTTGCGGGATTGTTTAACACCTCTCAAAAAAGTGTGACTTCTGAGTTTAGTGTAGCCATATCACAAACAGAGCTAAAGAAAAAGAGCAAACAAGGTGAAGCAGAACACCCACAAGCCGCATGTGCACATGAGGGACCAGTTCACTTCCACCTAAAAATGGGCCTCTTGGTGAAGAATTTTTGGAAGTTTTTAAGCATGACAGATTTAAAATGTACATACCCTGCCCAGATTTATATGCTGCATTATCCTGTAATCTACCTGAAAACTCATATTTTCACTTGTTTTAATAAGCAAGCATCAATAGTAGTTCAGAATATTCATTACTATGCAGTTGTTGAGGTTGGAACCACACTCTTAATTAATTAAAACTACAGAGAAGGTTGTAAAAAAAAAAGGAGAAAAATGCCATCTTGTAAACTTTAAAAGTTTAGTGTTGATAAAATTTGATATAAGTAGCAAATTTATTTAATCTGGCTACCTCAAAGTTTTACAAATCTTGTCAGGGTCATAAGACTAACAGTATCCTGTAGTTAATATAAAGCTACTTTACTCAGACTCCCAGAGTCTTTTAAATTAATATTTTTATTCTTTCATATAACATTTTATTGGGCCCAAATATAGGAATAAAAAATAGCCCTATACTAAGATTCTAAATCTAAGAGAAAAGTTTAACAAAGAGAGAAAGAGAAAGAAAGGAAGAAGAAAAAAGTAGAAAGAAATAAAGTATGTCATTTGAAGAAATAAGAGTGAAGTAAGTATCACTAAATCAAGGATACAATGAAGTACTTTGGTTCCTTAATGAACCCCTAAAGTAATCTGAGTTATAAAGAGATATTGCATAACAGTTTCCAGAGTTGTATCTGTGCTGGGACAACGGCCCTCCTCACTCACTGCATTTGGGGGGAGTGCCACATGTGTGGCTTTCCTTGGCAAAAGATCACAAGGCGCCCATTTTTCCTTTTGTCCTACCAAAGGGTAGAAAGAAGAAAAGAAGTTAAAAAAAAAGGAAAAAAATCCAGGAGAATTGCTTACTAACCTACATCAGTTTCTATACCATTATTCTTCCATGTTTCAATAAAAAAATCTCATCTAGGCTTATTTTCCAAGCGATTACTTTTTACCATTCGGATTCATTTTTACAAATGATTGTTAAGAGGCATCTATACCTGATACTCTACAATTAACATTAAAAAAAAAAAATAGGCCAAGTAATGAAGGAAACTGAGCACAGTAGAATTTTTAAATGAATAGTGAAACCTCATTGTTCTCCTGTTATCTGAGAAGCAGCCGTGAGGCGCCTAGACTTCCCCTCAGTTCACATGACCAGATCGGGTTAGCACAGTTCAGTTAGAGCCAGGTGTGTCATTCAGTTATTTTGGTCTTGACGTATGTCACGTATGGACATTTATCCATATGACTAAGTTGTAGTATAAGTGCAGGGCAAGTTAGAGGAAAAAGTACAAACATTCAAGTCGTCATACCCTGAAAAGTATGTTAGGCTGTAGTTGTAAACTCTTTGCACTAAATCCCATTTTAGGAACAAAATAAATAATACCATAGGATTCACAACTGAAGGTGGCTTCCCGATGAAGCCTAAAGAAGCAGTAGCTTTTTTAAACTGCAGAAAGAAAGTTCTCTCACCACAGATTTACTCAGGGCAAGTGGAAATACACATCAAGAGTGCTTACCCTGCTTAAGTGCTAGACAGCCCCCCCTTCAGAAAAACCACAAGGCTCCAGCAGCCCGTTCAGATCTCTGTCCAGGAATCAGATGATTCTTGAACCAAACCACATTAGTCAGTCAGTCCTTTCACCATGCCACCATGCAGAGCCTAATGCTGGAGGGCATTACATGCACAATTAGGAACGACTACTTTCAGGAACACAGATGATCCATGCCGTTGGGAAGACAACAGAACCAGTGAATGAGAGACAGCAAGGATACGCGCCGAGGACTGGTGGTCACGTTCCACTTAGCGACATGGAGGTGCGGATGGCTGGAGCCCACCCCACCTGCCAAAGCATCTGTCTACTCAGGCCCACCGCTGGGAATTTCTAGTCTCCTCTGGGCTGAGCTGGTGTTTCGTGACTGGTTCCTTTCTCTTCTCCTAGGGATGGGGTCTCCGAGGCTGCCAGGTGTTTTGAAAAAGGTCTCCCGGTGCGTGCGATGCATACTCTTGGGTGTCACTGGAACGGGTGACTAAATAAAGACCAAAATTAGAAGCCAACTCAAGCTCTTTTCACTCTCTGAACTCGAAGCTCTTTCTTGACTCATGTCATCATGATGCCTGGGCAGGGGTCCTCTCCTCTTGACTTTGTTTTTCTATCACTCATCCCTTTTATCTTTTTTACATCCCTCACCCCAACTGGAATTAAAGTTTTGCTTATTTTCAGTGAGGAAAAGTTGCCTACTGAGGTCACAGACCCGGCTAAGGGCTGGCTCTCTCATCTATGTGACCTCAGGCAAATCACTTAACCCATGTATCCCTTAGGCATTTCATCAGTGCGGTGGGAACACTGACACCAGCATGAAGAGGTGTAAGCATGAAACAGGGCGAGCTTTGTAAAACACTTGAGAGCACATGACACAAGCAGTCCTTGTACACGCACGCTTTGTGCTTATTTACTAATATCCATCCTCTTATACTAAGTCCTCTGAATGCGTCCCATAATGGCAGGGTGATCATCCTGCTCTACAGTACCTAGATCAGTGTTTGGTCATCACTTGGGGGAAAGCACTTGCTGGGGGTGGAGACATAGCGCAGTAGCAGAGCGCCTGGCTAGCACGCCTGATTCCACGGCACTGCAAAACAGCATATGCTGTGTCATAACCATCTTGGTTAAAAACTTCACACAAGGGTTGGGGAGATAGCTTGGCAGTCTAAGGGCCTGCCTGGCAAGTGCAAGGAGCCAGGTTTGATCCCTGGTACTGTATGCTGTGCCAGCCATGTGCCAAGTTGGCCAGGTGTGGTGGTGCACACCTGTAATCCAGTGTGGGGGAGGCTGAGACAGGAGGATCACTATGAGTCTGGACTGCATAGGAGACCCTGTACCAAATAAATAAATAAATACATAAATACATAAATAAATAAATAAATGACTAAAAGATAAAACTCACAATCATTTCAATAACATACTTTTGACCTCTGAATAACTTGTCTAACATGATTTTTTCTGGAATAATAAGTAATTACTCTAAATAATACCTTTTACATTATAGCAACTAAGTAAATATTTACTGAATTTGAGGGATAATTACAATAGATTCATACTTATTGTTTATGTACATTTTTATAAAAAAATGTCTACATATGCACTACCTCCTAGATATCACATTTTAAGAAAAATGCTAAGAACTGGAGTATTAGGATGTTTCCCTTGATTTTTAAAAAAAATTTATTCATTTATTTATGTATTTACTGGTACAGGGTCTCACTATATAGCTCAGACTTGTAGTGATCCTTCTGTTTTCAGTTCTCCAGAGCTGGGATTACAGTCATGTGCCACCACACCTGGTTTCAGTGGCTGGCTCTGCACGGGGCCGGAATAGCATGTGGTACTGGGGATTGAACTCAGGTCCTTGCACTTGTGAGGCAAGCAGTTAGACCGTGAAGCTGTCTCCCTGGCCCTCCCTTGATTTTATGCTATGTAATTAAAATTCAGGATGGTTTCCTTAAATAACCTAATTAGAGATGAAAGCTTAGAAATCACTGAAAACTTCTAAATATGCAGCATTCCTCAAAGATCTACCTTTATTTCAATGCCTACAATAGGCTGCTTTTATTCTAGGAAATAGAATAATGAATGAAAGAAGTATTCTCATCTGTAAAGCACAGGATCTCTCTCCTTGTATCTTAGTGTTTTGTAAAAGAAAGGTAATTCTGGGCCCACAATGGAAGCCGGCAGAGCTTGGCCTCCCACCTCTGCCCTTCAACCCTCTACTACAGTGAGAACTAGTTACCAGCCAGAGTGGCGCTTGCAGGCCTCACCTGTTCTAATTTTATGACTGAGACTGGATGCCCCATGTATGCAGGGGACTCAGGCTGGACGCTGTGCGACCTTGCCGTCACAGGGCTCAGGTTCCAGGAGGGCTGACCCTGAAGCTGAGGGTCTGCAGAAGGGAGCGTGGACAGCTTTGGGTTAATCATAGCTGCAGGGCCGATGAGAAGATGAGCTGTAGGTCCAAGGCCCGGCAAGCTGAAATTCACAGGTCCTGTGTTTGGGAGGATGCCAGGTGCAGAAGGAATCGGCCCAGGCACTGCAGAGTAGACAACAGGAAAAGGGCCCAGAGGTGGAGACGGTAAGACCATGCAAGGAACACTGAAGGGCGGCAGCTGACCTGAGGATGGTCCCACAGTGTAGGGGATTTGGCTGCCAGAGAAGAGCACATTGAAACCATTTAATCCTGGAACAGAAGAACAATAAAGAAAATCAACACAGCACAAGGATTCGGTTCGCGTTCCTATCCTTCACGGCCTTTTCTAACAGGAGTCCATGATAAATCAATGAATGACGGAACCTTCTCCCACCTGATCAAGTCAATCTCATCTGTGCTCTTCCGCTCACGGGGTCCCTTCACATCAGGGTCAGGACTGCGCTTGGACATCCACCCGTGTGATCACACGCAAGATGCCCATGCGGGGTTTCCCACTAAGTTCCACTGAACCCAAAATGAAGGGGGAAGTCAAACTTGGAAGGGAAATTATTCTTATTATGAACTTCTAACTAAAACTTTGTATTGCCTCAAAGATTATCACAAGGAACAAATCATAGCAGTGTTAATAGTATTTTGTCTTTGTCATGAGTAAAAAGTAAAAATATGTTCATGTTATTTTACAGCTATTACAGAGTTCTACACTAACTCAGCACAGCTTTGAGATGACGGCAGTTTTGGACCTGTTGCCAGATCTTTTCATTCCTTTAAATAATTGCAAAAACTAGTTTTCTGCTTGTTCTTCAATGTAATTGGTTCTTACTAATCCTGTTTTCAATTATCTGCATTTGTAAACATGGGCAAGAGGGACCCACAGGCTTCTCCAGTTCGCATAACAGTCTACGGCTAAAAGAAGGAAAAATCTGCCCTGAGCTATGATTTTCATGAGTAGTGGTGGAATCTGGTTTTGCAAAAAAAATCACCCCACCACTGAATACCTTGCTCAGAAAATGTACTCAAAACTAAAGGAATGAAGTGAATTGGTTTAACTCAACAAGAAAATGAGGGACTCAATCTAAGCATCTTTATGTTAAGAGCAGCTTTATAGATGTCTTAAAAGTTAGGTTTCTACTATAATTCAGTTTTAATTAAATAATAACATTTACTGTTTACTAGATGCTAGATACTTTAAGTTCCTCAGATTTAGTACTAGTCTAATTCAGCGTTCACAGCACTCCTACGAAGCAGGTGCCATCCCTGGTGCTGCCGTACTAACGAGGAGGGCTGCACGCCCGGCCTCAGTTCATGTAGTTCTAAACATCAGTGGTTTTAAACATCAAGCGCTTTCACTCCAGACGATAACAAATCCAAAAAATGAAAAGGAAAAAAAAAAAGAAGAAAAAAGGAAAACGAGAAGGTTAAGCAGAAAATGACTCAGAAGCGAGAGAGACAGCACCGTGTCACCGGACTTGCTTTCTTCGGCCAGTGACACAGGCAAGACTTAAAAAACATCCAGTTTATTATGCGTCCCTTAAGGGACTTCTTATAGCTTGGATCAAAAGAGTTGTGTGTTCAAGGCAGGGCTTTAGAAGGTGGATCACAGGGATGACAGACCCATCGGGGTCAATACGCTCGCTCGCTGTGGGGCCAGGGGCGCCCCCCCCCCCCGAGGGTCTGGCGCAGGCCTCAGGGCGCCCCCTGGCGCTGGCCTTGCGGGCTCTTGTCCCTCCGCTTCCCGGTGCCACAGGGTGACCGGCTTTGCTTCGCCAGCCTTCCCACCCTGCTGGATCTGCGCGGACCAAACCCACAGGAAACTGAGCCAAATCAACCTCTCTTCCTTTATGCTGTGTCAATTATTTTATCCCAGAGAGAGAAAGCGACCGATACAGGTCCCAAAGCCACAACGACACCTCTTACCGGGCGGAGACTGCACATACAGATACTGAGGCAAAGAGGAGTCTTTGGTGCTTTCATTTTCTTGTGAAGGCTTTTTTTCAGTATCTGTGTTTCTTGAAGGAGTTCTATGCTCAGAAGAAGCAAAGTGGTGTTCTGCAGCATTTCCAGAAACCTCTTCCGCAGCCAGGTGGGGGCCATCCCCAGGACAGTCTTCCTGGGACGCAGAGCCGCTGCACCCCACCGTCTTGGCAGAGGTGAGGTCTATGGAATCTGAGGGCTTCTAAGTGTAACCAAACCAGGAAATACAAAAGCAAGTCAAAATTCCTGCAATCTCCCAACACTTTTTCAACTTTTTTTTTTTTTTTCTGTATTTTAGGGAAGGGTCTACAGGGTGTTCAGGGTCTCACTACTAAATCAGACTCATACTGATTCTCCTGTTTACAGCCTCCCAAGAGCTGGGATTACAGGTGCTTGCCACCATGCCCAGTCTAGATCGACGTCTCAGCGTGCCCCGGGGGTGGGGCCAGCATGGCAGGCCCAGGATTGAACCTCCATCCCCTGCGTCTGCTTGCAGGCGCTTTAATCCGCTGAGCTATTTGGCCAGCCCACCAATACTTTTGCAAAACACCTAACACATACACAGAAAGGTAAAACACAACCGTGTGCCCCGTGACTCACGCACATCAGTTGTTTCATCCTGTTTACAGGTCTGTGTGAAAATGAATGTCACACCACGTGGATTCTAGGCTCAGGATTCATATAGAAATGATAATGGAAAACTGGCCATGGCGTTCAGACTACAAGTTTGTGAGCTGGTAACACATAAATAGTGCTGATGCTCTAGTTTTCGGGGCCTTCTAAGAACTGGGGACTGGCCCAAAGCCTTCTTGGCTGTCTGAGACATATGCTCGGCAGATTTTCACTTTTGATCTGACACTCCAGGCTATGCACAGAATTTAAAAAAAAAAAAAAAATGCATTCTGGCAAGACAAAGGCATCAAGGAGCAGGGTTCTTTTTTTTGTTTATTTAATTTTTTTTTGGCGGAACCGGGGATTGAACTCAGGCCCTTCCACGTGCCAGGGAAGCGCTTATTCTACTGAGCCATCTCCTGGAGCAGGGTTCTTAATTAATGGCTGATTTCCATGTAGCGTGCCCAGCTGGCCCACAGCACAGCTGTGATGGTGGCATTTCTCATGGTGAGCACGCACGGCGCTAACCTCTCTGTAGGCAAGAAGTGGGGGATGTACACGGCTCAGGTTTTTATTCTTTCATTTTGTAACTAAGGAAAAGGGATCACTGAGTTAAGAGAACTGAACCACACAGGCACTGCCAGCCAGCACCCGTTCCCAGCTCTGGAATTCAGCTATGACAGGGGCTGTGATGACTGTGGCAGAGAAGCTTTTTTATTGAGATGTATGCAAAAAAGATGAAGGACAATTGAACAATGTTAGCGGTGCATGCCAATACGGCTAAGTTAATGAATAAAATTTTTTTTTTGACATATTTTAAAGAACTGTGAGTTTTTAAAAAATCAGCTGCTTTTCCCTTTTCTTTTTGTGGTACTAGGGATTAAAGACAGTGCCTCAGCAGCTGCCCAGGCTGGGTCTGAGTATCTCATGTGTATCTCTGTGTCTTCAGGGTTAATGCGATGGCACCAGACATGCTCCTCACCTTGGGCATTACCAGGGATAAGGGGCTGTCTTCAAGTTCCCGACTTTGTCTTTTAGTGGCAGGCTCGTGCTCCTCCAGGGGCTTCCTGTCCTCACAGAGGCGCTTCTGACTGGAAGGTGCCAAGGACAGCTCTGCTGTGGCCGGGACCTCCAAGCTTCTGCCGTTCCTCTCCAGGCCCGACTCTGGGGCTGGCCCCCCTCGAAGGTTTGTACACAGCATGAACAGCGATGCAGAGGGCACATACATCATGGGTTGGCCAGAAAACAGGGTAGGCTTCATACTCTCCCTGTCAGAGGACATGGGAGCCAGGGACACCCCTACTTGTCCACTAAGACTGTTTTGCATGGAGAGTGCCGGCAGGCCTGTGTGGGCAGCAGAAAATGCCTGGTGGGCTAATGGGTTACCATAGTATTCAGAGTCAAACAGGAGGCCGGTGTCCAGGCTGCCTGCTGTAGGTACCGCTTTCTTACTGGCAGAGGTGCCTTCCCTAGGAGAAAAGGGAACACAGTGATGCCCACCCTGTTGTCCATCTCTACTCTGCCTCTTTAGCAAGACCAACCCGATGACCCAGATCATGCGCAGCTGACTGAGACAGAACCAGACTTTCATTTAAAGCAAATTTAGTCTCGGTTGTCTCAGATCAAGTGTCAGTTAAACAAAGAGAACAGTGACTAAAGAAATAAGCTCATCTACTAAATAATTACTTTCTAGCATTCTTGTCCCATGCTGCGGGGAGTTATTACATAAGTTTTAGTATACATTCAAAGTTAGTAGGGCCAGGCAGATAGCTCAGTGGACTAAAGCGCCTGCTTAGGCAAGCTTAGGCAAGCTCAGGGACCACAGTTAGATCCCCGCTTTGATCCCCAGGACTGCATGCTGCACTAGCCCTGCCCCCAGGGCAGGCGGGGCTGGTCACAGAGCCCAGATATGGTGGCGCATGCATGTAATCACAGCATTGGGAAGGCTGAAAACAGGAGGATCACTACAAGTCCAAGCTGCGTAGTGAGACCCTGTAACAACCAAATACATTAAAAACAAAACAAAAAAAAAATCCCAAAATGTTAGTCTCATTAATATATAAGACTGTAAGTAGTATGTGGGCCTTATATTTAAGAACATGTTCATGGGAAGAAACACTAGAGAAGACAGATTTCTTGGAGCCCCTCTAATGGAAGCATCGAGGTCCACTCCGCCCGCTTTCTCATCTTGTATTTTGTGGCAGATGAGAGTGCACGACAGACAGGGAAGAGTGCGCCTCTCCGTCTGTGGCCTCCCTAATTGAGGCATCAGCATTACTGAGCTTTGTGAAACTCAACAGACCCAGAACGAGCGTATCAACCACTGCCCGACACCCAGCCATCAGTTTCAACCTCCCCAGAGGCACCAGCAATGCTGCCCCACTGTATCCTCCAGATGTCCTCGCTCCTGCCCTCTCGCATCCATTTCTGGGGATGGGGACTTCTCTGTGTTTCATTCAGGCTGGTCTTGCACTTTCAGCCTAGGCTAGTGTCAAGCCCTCTACCTGCGGCGTCGGTTTCCCTAGTGTTGAATGGAGGCATGCACCACACCTGACTAGACATTCTTTGTGCTGCCTCTCCAAGAGCGAGTCTGCTAAATCACTGTCTTACATTCAGTCCTCTAAAGCGGACTAAAGCGCCTGCTTAGGCAACTCAGGGACCAAAAGGCAAGCTTTTGGTCCTTGGCTGACATGGTTCAGATCTGTACTTTAGCAGATCAGACCTACTACCACCCAAGGCCCTGAACCTCAGGAGCCCTCTCTACCTCCAATCTCACCTGTCAAAGCAGCCAGAAGGATCTTCGCCAGTGAATTTGTTCTTCGGTGTCTGCCTGTTGAATCTAAATGCTTCCACTCGGCTTTCAATCCATGTTGCCACTGTGGCCTACAGCCAACCTCTTATGAATGACATTTCCTTTTACTAGTGTACTCAGAAAGATCATGACAGCTAAACTAATCAGGCTTTGTGCATCTACTCCTTGCCCTGACTCACAATCTGTTTCTTACCAGATGTTCATCAAGAACCTTTCTCGTCCCCTCTTTAATTTTTTTTTTTTTTTTTTTCTGGTTTCCCAGGTTATATACTGAGTTGTTTTGAAATTAGATCTCAAATTTAAAGCTGATGGCCTGGATATGGAGCCTACTCTTGTCATGTAGTAGCAGTCTGACCACCGGCAAGTGACTTAACCTCTTTGTAGTTTCCTTTCTTTAAAATGAGGACAGTCATAGCGGCCTCAAAGGACTATGATCAGGCGGATTAATAAACACTGAGGTAGGACCTGGTCCTTGGTGTACAAATTTAGCTATGACAATGACAAAAGAATCCACAGGACTAAGGTGCAGCATTTCTCAATGTAGTGTTTGTGTGACATTTAAAAAAAGAAAAATCAGTGTATCTGCCTTATTTTTACTTTGTTCTCTCTATATATTCTCATAGTTTAGTTTATTTTTCATATTTTTACAACAATGATACTACATAGTTGGGCACAAAGGGAAAATTTATCAGTTCTTAGTTTTAAAAAATGGACAACTTAAAATTTATCTCTTGGGGGTGACATTTCAATCTAGTCAAGATTAACACCAGGAAACAGAAAATACTTACTGTAACTTGTCCTCTATTTTCTGCCTGTAGATAGCAGCTAGACTTCCAATTTCTAAGGAAAAACCACCTGATTCTGGAAAGGAAAATGAAAGTTTAACAAATACGGCATGATCCCTATATATCCCTCTTGCTGTGGAATCCATTACTCATAATTTGGGGATAAGAAGATTATCTCAAATCTGTTCTTGTTTTGATTTAAAGAGAAAAATTTCTCAAATGGCAAATCCATGTCTCATTAAGAATGAGTAAGAAATCAAACCAAGCCAAAACCAAAATAAGCGTTGTTCTGTCAGTCTGATGAATTTCTGAGATATATTAAGCAGGCCAACCATGGCAAACCAATTGACCAAGGCTGACTGGATCAATTTCAGGCGTGGGGCCACGTCTGCACACTGAAGTCAGCACCTCCTTCGCTGCTAATAATTGTTTTACTTCAGGCAAGTGAAAAGCAGACCTCTGAAAAAATAGGCAAGGTCTCGAATCAGATCATGTCAAAATGTCAGCCCATGGGTAAGGCGACAATGTCACGGCACGTGGCGGGCTGCACGGAGTAAGGGAGGGCAGGCACCTTGTTCCTCTCTGTATGGACTGCTGGGTTCTGAGATCACTTTTCTCTCTATCCTCTCAGAAGCCTGAACTGTGTTAAAGGACCCATGACGAGCCAGCCTCTGTTTTGCACAGACTTGAATCTTGCCGTATGTTTCTCTCTTCAACTCTGGTAAGACGGACGCAGAAACATCCATTAGTTCATCATCTAAATAAACGAGAGAATTGGTTGTGTTGTTATATATCTGTAATTCAGGATAATTTTAGTCTTTCAAGAGATGACTTTGAACCTATAATTGGACGTTACCCTATAAATAAAAAGGACAATCAAAGGAATTTTATGAGTCTTGTCTCAAACCCCATTTTTTGATATATTCCTTTTTTAAAAAGTTAGTGGATGACTATAAAGTGAGACTGAATCCATATATATTCTAAAATTATCTGAACTACAACAAAAGTAGAGCAAGATGTTCTTCAACCCAAATTGGAACAAGCCTGACATTTTAATGCTCTGCTGGGCAGAAAGTATCAAAGGAAAACCTGACCACACTCAGCACATCCGTGCATATTTTGAGATTCACTTTCAAGATTAATTGAAATCTGCTTCTTATGCCACAGCTCTAGGGCAATGAGGAGAAGAGTCACTGTTTGCTATTATTAGGCTTTAGTATTTCTTTCTTAGGCAGCAGGAGGCTCAGTTACTAAGTGACCCCAGGAGAAAGGCCAACAGGCTTCATGGTGGAAATGCTGCGGAGCACAAGGATGACAAAAGGCTGGTCCTTGAAGACCATTTGTGCTTTCAGGCCCCTGAGTACAGTCGGGGCTGAGCTGCCCACCACTCAGGCAGCCAATTCTGCCACCCTGACGGTGAATCTTTCCATGCTTGTTTATGCTAATTTTTTTCAAGCTCAAAATAGTATTTTAATTACAATACTGATTTAACATACTGAAATGCTTACATTTTATAACAGGCATTTTGATGCGAATGTAACCTCCTGAAAGACGAAATAGGTAAAACTCTAAGTCACAGGAGCGGGCAAACACTTTCTGAACAGAGCCCTAATGCACAGGAAATGGTATCAGGAATCAACACATGGGATCGTATCAAATTAAAAAACTTTTTTTTTGTTTAGAAGAACCAAGGATTGAACTCAGGCCCTTGTGCTTGCCAGGGAGGCGCTTATTTTACTGAGCCATCTCCCTGGCCCCCAAATTAAAAAGCTTCTGAACAGTCAAAGAAACAACCAACAGGGCTGGCCTAATAGCTCAGTGGACAAAGGTCCTTAGGCAGAGCGCAGCAACCAGGGTTTGATCCCAGGCCTGACATGCTGCCCCGCCCCTGGGGTGCGCTGAGACCACAACTGAGACTGGTTGCGATGGCGTGCATGTAATCTCAGCGCTTGTGAGGCTGAAAACAGGAGAATCACTATGAGTCTCATCTACGTAGAGTGACCCTGTAGACGCTGTCCTAAATACAGGAAAAAAAAAGAAAAGAACCAAGAGTAAAGAGACAATTTATAGACGGGAATTTTTTTTGGCAGGTCTTCCTTAAACAGAGGACTACTAGAACCTGCGAGATAGCTCAGCGGCATAAACACCTGCCTGGCAGGCGCAAGGTCCTAAGTTCAATCCCCAGTACCAAAAATAAAATTGGGTTTAGTTTGTCCTTTCATAGTTCATTCAACTGCACTATTAGGGTATTTAAAATCTTTTTTTTTTTTTTTTTTTTTTTTAATTTAGGCATTTGGCTACTATGAACATCTTTTAGCATTGCATTTGCTGAATCCCTTAGCATAGGTTTTGGTATGTTGTCTTTCATTTCTGTTTGTTTCTTTTATTATTATTATTATTTTTTGTGTATTTGTAACAGGGCCTTCCTATGCAGCTTGAATTTGTAGTGCTTTTCCTGTTTTCAGCCTCCCCAGTGCTGGGATCGTAGGCACGCGCCACCAGCCCAGACTCTTACCGCTGCCTCAGTGCGCCCTGGGGGCATTGCTGGTGTGGCATGTGGGACCTGGCCCCTGCTCTTGCTAAGCAGGTGCGTCATTCAAGAATATACTGTTTAACTTCCACGTATTTGTATAATTTTTAAAGTTTCTATTGTTGATTTTTAGTTTTATTCTATTATTACTCCAATGTTTGTTGTTCTCTTAATGTAATTATGTCCACTGGTGAAAGAGTACTTAAATCTCACTATGCCTATAATACAGACCTACTAATGTTAGATTTGTTTTAGAGTGGTACATACATTAGGCCTGGTTTAGATCTAATGATGTTGTTATACAAATGTGGGCTTCAGCACCGGGTGCTTGGATATTTACATTTTAAAAATTTCTTGTGATCTTTTTTCCTCTTTTTTAAGGCTTTCTACTTAGTCTAGTTTGAGAACTATAGCTACTTCTACTCCTGCTCACTGAGGTTTTTAATCTTTTCCCATCCATACACACAGTCTGGGCAACACATCACTGGGTCTTATTTTTGTACCCACTCAGGAAGTACCTTTTAACTGGGGGCCACAACCTGTTTACATTCAATGTTATTACTGATAAGACATACTCTTGTCATTCTGTTGGTTTTCATTCTTCTTGTCCTGTCTGCCTTTGTTCCCTGCTTCTCTTGTAGCTTTGTGGTTTGGTAGTTTTCTGCACTGATGAGGTCTGCTTTTCTTCATTTTTGTGCATGTGCTCTGTTCATGAATTTTGCACTTTCATGTGTTTTCACAGCGGTAGTTAAGACTTTCACTTCTGCTAAAAGTTTCTTAAAATCATTCTCTTGAATTGTCAGGCATATCAATTCCTTCTTTGCGAGCTAATAATACTCTCCTTTGGAGGCATAGTACCTTGTTTTTTCCATGTTTTCTTGTGTCTTTATTTTGAAGTTTGTGTATCAGGTAGATCTGCTGACTCTGCCAATTTTTCACAGTAAAAGACTTTCCCTTGATCATGTGTACCGGGGGCACTGGACCCAGGGAGTGAACCTTTTGGAGACAAGTGCCCAAGCAACAACCCAAGACCCACTCACTTATCACGACGTGCCAACACTGCAATTAAACCTGAATACTGAGGTTTTAGTTTGGAAAAAACCCAACTTACACATTAACATTTTTTATCTTAAAAACAAATGTGCCATAGGTTCAGTACCACTGTCACAGGGATTTGGATAGACAGGCTGGGTTAGCTTCGCGTCTAGGGAGGTGCTTTACTATAGCCTTTGTGCAGCTCCTTCAGCTGTAATCGGTATCACCAATGCATAGAGAGCCCCGTGACCTGCTTCTCAGGGTCTTGCTGGGGCATCTGAATACAGGGTGAGCAGCTGTCACAGGGGGGCCATATGAGAATGGGCAGGGCCACTTAGGGAAGGCTGCTTGGCCTCTCTGCAGTCAAGGATAGGGAGGCAAGGCTACTCAACTCATTCCCAGCGGCACTCCAGGCCTGAGTACTTAGAGCAGGGTTCTTGGCTGCTTCTTAGTGACCAAGTAAGTGTCTCTAGAGACAAGCCATTCCAGGCTGGTTGCTCGGCTGTCTGGGCTGACAGTGGGTAGGCAGGCATGTTCGGCAGATTGCAGGGCACCAGGAGGGTGTGGGGGGCCAGCTTTTTCCCAGGGACCTCTGCAGGGCTGAGCTACTCAGGGTGCATTGTGCAGGGATATGGAGCGACTGGCAGGAGATGCAGTATGCTTGCTTCCCTTCTTCGTAAGAGCCCAGTGTACCTCTGCTTGGGAAGACCTCTGACTTCACTGCTCTGTGTCAGATGTTCCAGTACAAAATGCTGGTGCTTTGATTTGGTTCTTTGTTGTACAAGGAACGACACCAGACATGTTTACTCAGCCTCGCGCTGATGTGCTTGGGAGCCACTTGAGGTGGCAAAATCACTCATGAAAAGTGAAAAATTGAAGACACGACTCAAAAGAACTGTAAAGCTAAAACCAGACTTGTTCAACCACATCCAGGAATGTACAGCAACCTATTTTTTTTTTCTTTTTTTGCATTTTCGACCATGAGAAGACCACGAACACTGATTTTTGGACTTACAGTGTAAATTTTAGTAAGCAGGTTCAGCAATAAGCATTCTGTGAATAATGGGACTCGGCTTTGGGGGAAACAGAAACACACCTGAAGGAGAAAGCAGATCGGAGACTGCTTAGGGATGGGAGTAAGGCTGGCATGGAGGAACTGCAGAGGGGCAGGGGAGGCTTTTGTGGTGGCAGAAATGTTTATTTTCTTCATTGTGGTATTATTTCATTGGTGCATGACTCCTCACACTGCTTATGCAAACACATGGATCCCTCGACCTCTCAGCACCACTTCGCGTCCCAGAGGTCTTGTCTTTCCAGCGGCACCACCATCCTTCCCCTTCACACATTCACAGTGGGGCCCTAATTCAGATGTCTTGCAGCTGGGCAGCTCGAACTGTCTGACACACATGACTCTATGACTTGTATCAACAGTGGCACAAGCTGCCTGATGGGACAGTCACACACACGCCACTGGAGGTTCAAGCTGGCAGCAATGTGTCAATCCCTATGTTCAAAGACTCTTCCCTATTATAGAGTGCAGATTCCTTGGCTCCACTCACACCTTCCAAAAAATGCAGTCCCAATGGATTAGACTTTATCTTATTCTCTATCCTCTGCTCTCCACTTAAATTAGGGTGGCTGTTCTCTCCAGTGTAGGCCAAATTTATTTTTTCTTTTGGAACTGGGAATTGAATTCAGGACCTTGTATCCCTGGTCCTCAAATTTGTTCTTACTGTATGAGGTGTGATTTTGCATTTAAAAAATGTTTTATAGTAAAAGGCATGGTATTCATTCCCTCCAAATACTGCCCCGCGTGTCAAACACTTATCCCATTGTCCTTGCTTCTTTCTGAAGCAGGTCTGGAAGTCCTTTTTCATGTGTCTTCAGTTACACTGTCATGGCTTCCCTGATGTTCTGAATTGATTAGAAACATTTGCCTTTAATGGTCATCTTTAGATGGGTGGAGTCAGAAGTCACATGGTGCTAGTCGAGAGAGTAAGGTGGACAGGAACATACTGTAATGTTCTCTGAACCTCCCTTTGCACTGGATGGCACTTGGCACCAGTATTTGCCATGTTTGGTCATGCCTCCTAAAGACACCACAGCAGACTTCCGGAACTGCTTTAGAAGTGGAAGAAGCGTGTTCAGAGAGGGGCTATCTTGAGGAAGCTTACTGGCAAGGGGTCTTTTATAATGTGCTATTTCCAAATAGTTTACACACTCACTTTACTTTTCAATCACACCTCTATGCCACTCCTTCATCCCTCCAAAACTCAATATTCTATCAGGTATCCTCTTGAATTCCTTTAGAGCTAATGCCTCCCTCTAGCACTGAATTCCTCTCTTTTTAAATTTTTTTTTTTTGTGGTACTGGGGATCAAACTTGGGACCTTGCGCTTGCCAAGCAGGCCCTTATGTTGCTGAGCTATATCCCTGCTCATGAGTTACAGAAAGATGAATACTGACTGTAGACTTAGTGTACAAGCTGAGGGCAATCCTGCACGGTCAACTTCATTAAGTAAAACAACACAATACCTAATTGCAATTACTCAGAAGAGATATTCTTTGCTCTGGGTGATCAGGGATAAAACTGTGAGGCTGGGAGCTGAGCTTGAGCTGGAAAGTTGAACAGAATACAGTCCTAAGAGTATCTGGCTCCAGGACAGACCAAGTACAACACAGTCCCGTAAGATCATAGTGCCCACTGACTCCGGAGTAGGCCAGCTCAGTGCGTTTTGCCCTTGGACACAATTGCTAAAGGACACATCTCACAAAATGTATGCCTGTTAAGGGATGCATGGCTGTGTTTCTAGTTAAAAAGGAGACGTTGTCACAGGTGGAAAGGAGAAACCAAAGGCAGAGAAGCATAAAACGGCAGAGACGCACACTTCACGCAGGCAGGGGCTGCATCCCGCCTAGCTGAACTTTTCCATGGCGTGTGGTACGGGAACTGGCACATGGCCCACGCTCAGCAAGCACGCCCTGGGTTGAATTAGTTATACTTGATTTTAAGTGGTTCCATCTAGATCCTAAGTGAATAATATGTCACAAGTGAGGGAGAGAGCTGTATCTTGTATAAGCCTGAGTTAAGTGGCACGATTTTATACCACCAATGCCAAAATTGAAAGGATAATTTAAAAATAACGTTAATGGCTTTCCCCAGCAGTGCTGCTGTATGTAAAGCACCTGGTGGAGTAGGACCTAGTTTCTGATTGCTCAGAGATTACCTGTGAATTAACTAGAAGATAATACCCTCTTTCATTGCAGCTTAGGAAAACTGTAACATTTGTAACCTTTTAAGTAAATTACAGAAGAGGTATTGATTATATCATCCTATATTTAGAAGCAGCCTTACCACATATTAGCTTTGTGATAACTGGTGCAATTTTTACGTTACTTGGGATTTTACTGAAAAACAATGTATCATTCTGCTAACACAGAAACAAGTATAGCTCAAAAGAAATGTCATTTTTAACTCTCACCCCAAACTTCCACAAAGGGGGACAGGGAGATATCTCAGTAGAATAAGCGCTTGCCTGGTAAGTGCAAGGGCCTGAGTTTTAGCCCCGATCCCGCAAAAAAAAAAAAAAAAACCACAACAAAAAAGAAACAAAACAAAACAAAACAAAAAAAACTCATAAAACAAACTTCCAGGAACTCTATAACACAACAAAAAATTATGAAGAGCTGTAACTTAATACTATGGATATCCCCACACCAGCTTGTGTCCCTCCTCCCGTGTATGTGCCAACCAGTGGTTGCTATTTTTAAGCTAATGATCGTTGCTTCAATTAGGTATGGGATATAGACTATAGAAAAGATCAATTTCATTCTAGTATACGTCCCACTTAGAAAAGGAATTAGGGGTTATACATAAAATAGGTCCTTAGCAAAACCACACCTCCTTACCACTGGAGCTGAAGTCCACAGGCCCGATCCACTTGAAGGCTGGTTTCCGGCCTCGCTCTTCTGTGACATGCACTTTCTTTATCAAAGCCAAGCTGGTCAGAACATTGGCTATGTCATAGAGACGTCGTACCTTTGCTTGAAGACATAAAACAATTATGGTCATGCCATCTGACCGATCCATTTTAGTTTATGTGACAAGTAACGTTTCTATGTCACAGCATAAAGCTCAAGAGAGCAGCAGGGTGGGATGACACCAGTGGCTCTGTCAGCACTCAGCTAAAATTTACATTTCTGATGCATCTGAAGACACTTCCTAAGGAAAGGTCAGCATGTCCTTCCCTTTTGCAGCTTCACGCCGCTTGCAGGAGGCATCTGTTAGCAAGCTGGGAGCGTCAGGACGGCAGACACACCAAGGGAGGAAAGGACTAGGGGCTTAGTAAATGTATTTCTGCCACGTGGCATGTCCAGAGCTTGCCCTGAGCTTCTCCCAGCAGGTGGTCACAGAAACTGCTTCAAAGGCAGCTGGCTGTGAAGATGACAAGGACTCCCCAGGGCTTTCTGCAAGGCCACAAAGCTGGGCACATGGGATGCCTGGGACTGAAGGTCATGAGGACGGCTGTGTGAAGGACCGCTGCTTCTCACCTGAAGCCAGGGCATGCTGTACCCAGGGAGAAGGGTGGAATGGGCACTGCCAGGGTCTTAAGAAGTATTGGGGACACCTTTGAAAAATGCATGTACTACTGGAAAAGAAGGGCTGGTAATACCTCAAACATGCAGGACAATGGCCACAAATATTTTTTATTTAAGAAAATGATGGGTGGCTGGGAAACCCACTCGAACCCCAGGCTCAAATCAAATCCGCCAAAGGCATTTTCACTGTCCAGAAACATGCTTTCACCTCTGTCCCACCAGGGCTGATTTAGTCTGGCTATTTCACCCACAAGGCAGCCTCATTCCAGCTGGAAACAAATCAAAGCTAAAGCCTCATGGGCTTATGGCTTCTCACCAGGAGCCCTGGGCACTGGCTCAGGATACTAGAACCATCAAAAAGGAAGATGTACATTGGTCATGCCCCACTCCCCTACCCTCTGGTTCCTCTGGTTCTTACCTGCAGACAACTTTTTCCACCCTTGAGAAGAGTAGGCAGGGGTGGGGAGAAAAGGGGAAAGAAAACTCAGACACCGTCTCCCATGCAATGTTACTAAAGAGAAATGCAAAGTAATTCCCACCCTCCCTGGCTGTCATCCTCCAGGCGTTCTGCTTTTCACTGGCCACCCTAACTACTGAGGACATGTCTTCTGACAGGAACTTAACATTCTATTAGTCACTAGCTAATCTTTCACAGCAGCAAGAACCTTTATGTACAAAGGAAAGAGTGTGTTTTGCAAAAATAATATACATGTACTTTTAATTTCAGAGGCAGAACACACCCACTTATGAAATCCCACCCTGTTTGTGCTCATAAATGGATCTAGGCAGAGATTCTTACTTTTAAATTTACTATGGTCTGGAGTATCTTGGCTTTCTTCTATCAGTATTTTAGCAGCCACATCCAGAGTAACAATCTTGGTTTTGGAGACGAGGAACAGCATGACAAATTTCTGGCTCATGATTCTCAAAGACTTATCTTTTCTACTGTTTGCAGATGCTACAAAGGGAAGAAATATAAGCATCAAAACATGGGATTTGCAAGAAAGGCTGCGTTCACGGCTCACCAGCACTGTCCAGCTCCAAGCACATGGGGAGTGTCACTCTCGCTACAGGCAGAAGCTTCTGGGACACACATCACAAAAAGCAGCTTCTAAAGAAACTGGGATTTTCTTGTGGCACTGAGCAGTAGGCATAAACTCTTATATGCATATTTTCAACCACTCTCATCACTTTATGCTTATAGATCATGTAATAGAAGCCATGTGGTATTTTTCCTGATGCAACTTTTTGAAAAGATTAATGTTGACAGATAAAAGGCAGGGCAGGGATCCGAAACTACTTTCAGAACTTCAGCTTTCTCCTCAAAGACCAGAACTCCATTTTTATCCTTGGCCCACAATTTGCAGAATACAGTAGGTGCCTACCTTTTCCAGTTCTTTTCAGAAATAGGTGAATAAACGAGCTTTCCATAAACAGGAAGCTAATCAGATGTGTGTGCCTATGGCCGGCAGGTAAGGTACCCAGCAGTCGGCTCCCTTCCCTGGTTATCAGGGTAAGTGCAGCCTCACGGAGTGGAACAAAAAGGCAGGAGGCCGTCAATCTAATGAGTACCAGCACCACCTTCCTCCCAAGTCTAATATTTGCAATTAAAATGTGCCTGGCACATGTAGTTTGTCATGTTAGCAACAGGGAGGAGGAGGGTGACAGTGATGAAGATGAATGGGTAAAATGAAGAGAGGAAAAATATTAGTTAGGGAGGGGAAAGAAAAGTATGGACAGATATCAAAACTTTCTGCACCAAGTGAAAGCAGGGGCTGCCCATCTTTTTATCATTTCCTGTTAATGGGGCTCTTTTCTAATCTACCCCAATATATAATTAAGGAAAATTATTTGAGAAGATAACTTCTTCAACGTAAAGTCTCATGAAAAGAACACTGCATGGGGTTGTCAATCTTCAACGAGAACATTATTAGAGATCTACAGTCCAGGCAAGCTAAACATCAAGTGAACGCCACTAGATGGATTTTAAGTAAGGTCGAGTGGGCAGCCCAGATGGGGAGCCATCTGCCTCCTTTTCTTTAGTAGACAGAATAAGAGGGCATTTTCCGCTAGGGCTGTCAATCTGGCACTTCTCTTCTTTGCAGTGAATCTCTTCAGAAAAGCCTATCACTGTCTCTGCCATTATTCAGGAGCTTACAAAGGACTTACAAGGATAGTCGGGCTCAGAGAACTCCAGTAACTGCTGATCTTGGCACTCCGGATAGCCATTCCTTCTGTGCTCGCCAAACTTATAATCCATCAGGTCTAGCTCCTTCTGCTGGAGGTGGGCCATCTGCTCTTCGTACTTCTGCTCTTCGCCTAGTCTCTGGAGGGTTCTTAAGGTTTTTGGCAGGCTGTGCCGTCCATGCCAGCCATACTGATTCTTGGCCACACGGCTGACCAGATGCAGGGACTCCAGGACATTGACAATGTCATAGATGCGTCTTCTTTCCACACCTGTGTAAAAAACAGAAGCCAACAGGTATCACGCAGGTGACCCTGATGAGTACATTCCTCGAGGGTGTGGACTGTGTCTGTGAGCTGCTTTGCGTAAGGCCCACTGTAAGGCTCACGAAGTGTGGATGTGCCACAAACTCAACCTGTAGGGATGCGAACAACAGTAATTATTTCCCTTTTTTCTCCTTGAGAACCAACGCTCAAAGAGGTAGGCCAAAGACCCCTGTGGAGACAGTGACAGTTCTACCTATATGACCTGATAGTGTAGCATCCACTCTTGAGACCTGTCAGCCAACCACTCATTTTGACATGTTAAAATGGGCAGCACTGCGCAATTTACACACCATGCCTGCTGCCCACTCAATGAATGCATGGTTGATTGTGACCTGTATTCCTAATTATGCAACTATAAAAGAAACCATGTCCAATATTGACACTTCATCCATAGACAATGCTGTCCTTTCTCAGAGCCTCAATGATGTGAAAAAATAATTACATCTATAACTTTTAGTGGCCCAGAAAGGTAAAATGATAGTAAATAGTGTTTCCTCAAGATTCGAGGGCTTAGCCACTAATGCCAAGCTGCTGGGAAAGGCTGCAGCTCTGTGTTCCCTTTTGTGCTCATCTAAGTATCCATAACAAAAGCCTCCAGGCACCTTGCAGAAAACCAGCCCTGTTACAAAGATGCCCTCTTCCAGCTCACTTGCCAGGGGTTGTTATACAATCAGGGCAGACTCAGTAAATGTAGCTTTGGGCCTGTCGGAGATTTAATGTGAGAAAAACATCAAACTGCAAGGAACACTCCAGAGCTGAGAGGAAGTTCTCTCACATGCATGAGGAGACATTTCATAGTCAGTCAGAACATTTCAGCTCATGACCCAGAATGGCTCGTTACCCCCAAACGCTGCCAGCTGCCTGCCGGAAGTTGTTGGCAGGAGCAGACAGCAGCCCTTTGTCCAGAGCTGCCTGGCTCTTTCCTCCAGTCTGTTTCCACATATTAACACATTTTGTTTAGAGAGTAACATTCTAGAAACCTTCCCACTAGAAATACCATGCGAATGCAACCGAGACACCCCAAAGCCAGCCATATGCCCTCCCATTTTGTTGTGTCCTTTGATAATGAGCTGCTTAGTCTCCACCTAGTGGCTAAACTTTCCAAGGGAAAGAGAGTAAAAGATTCTGACCATTTGGAGAACACTGTGATGCTTAATACCCACAGTGGGTACTCAGTAGGTAGTTGGAAATTAGTTGCATAGGCTATACTGTTTTCTGGTTCCTAAAGTCGCTCCCTGTTCTTAAATTCCTGCCCCCAGTCTCCATGTCAGATCTAATAGTACCAGAATTTGGGACCCAGTACCAGAATCTGGGACCCTGTACAGTTTGAATGTCCTGCACGTCCTTGGTTAAACTATGGTCTTGTCACCCAGGATGTACCAAGGCCACAAGGCATTTCCTTAGGCTCCAGGAAATGATCACTGATACAATAGCTCTGGCCAAGGACCCCTCCTTTCCCACCTCATACGAACAAAATGCCACACTTACTCAGCAGGTCGGGTGCTCATCGGGCACATGGAGCTGCCGTAAAAATCTCGGTAGTTCTGCTCCAAGCTGTTATAACACGGAGCTCTGTGGAATGATCTGCAGCTCAAGAGGACAATGGAGTCCATCCTCTTGTCCTCTGGGAGTTGTGAAATACCCCTCCAACATCTAATCTTTTGTGTTCTGTAGTGACATCAGTGTAAGATCTCCGGGCAGACACTGGGTGCATGAGGCAGCAGGCTTCTGAACCCCAGGGACAGGAACACTGAACACCAGTCCTTTTCTGTAAGAGTGGCTTCCCCAGTCCTGCGCCTTTACTAGTTCTTGGCCACGTCTCTGCCCCAAGGACCAAGTCCCCCCCATTGCTGGCCTTGATCCTTGACTGTGTATTACACTTCCAGGCTCCAAAATGGCCCTGCAGCCCCACTGCTCTTGGTCTTCTTTCTCACTGTAGGGCCTGATAGAACAGCAGGCAGTTTTGGGAAAGTACAATTGAGTAAGCACCGAGTAGAAAAATAAAACCAACACATGCTGGGTACTGAATTAGGAATATTCTCTTGTTACTTCCGACTTCACATCTCTGCAAGGCAGGTGCTGTGGTTCCTTGTTATGACAGGAAAAGGTTAACTCCTAACAACTCTTACAGGCTTGGGTAGGATTAGATGTGAGCCCAACCCTGTAAGAGTTGTTAGGCTCACATCTAACCCTACCCAACCCGAAGTCCACCTCACGCTCTTCTCACCACAACTTCCTCATTTGTGACTTCCAACAACCATAACCTGCTTAGCTTTCAGCTTGAATAATTCAGATTGTCACACTGACATACTGACTAAATCAAAATGACATTTCTACAGAAAATGCCATTTATTTGTTTAGCTGCTATCTTCTTCTGGTGTATGTAAAACCTTATGATTTAAGGGTACACCTTCACACCTTTAAATCACCGTGATGTCTGTTTAGGGACCGTTCACGCATTCATTTAGAAACCAACTACAACGCATGGCCACTAGGGGTCGCTAACCTGAAGCAGCCGTGCACGCATTCATAGGCGATAGCCACCGCAGCATGCATGACCACGCCACATGCGCATACTCCCCTTTGTTGTGAGGTTTAGCTGGTCGCGTCACCTTCGCGTGTGCTTCACCTAGCTTGGCAGGCTTGCTGCATCATGGCGAAGGGCTACGAACACAATGCTGCTGCGTGAAGGAACAACAGCAGTTCTCAACTGTTAGAAGCATTATTAAACAAAGAAGCAGGTTATTTCTAAAAACTGCTTGCCTCACTCTAAAGAGGAGTTTAAACACTATATGAATTTATGATGTAAATATTAAGAAATACTATGTTACAAAAATATTTCTAAGGTTTGAAAAAACCAAAACAAATCTGAATTTTTGTTTGGCCCTCCTGGCTAGGAAGCTTCCTAGAATTCTGTGCAGAAAGAGATATTTGGAGGTGTAGGAAGCGCTGCCTGCTTCTTTGTCCCTCTACCCTTGTGAAAGGCCCACTCTTTAGCTTCTAAGAGGCCACCTGAAGTCTCTGGCTTGCCCAGGGAAACCAGTTTCCCACTGTAACCCGCGCGAAGCCTCCGAGTAATCTCACCATACATACCGAGACTGACAGCCACTTCGTCTAGGGAGATGGTAGTTTTCTCAGTTGACAAGGGGTAACTTGGATAACGAGCTAGAAACTTCTGGCAGAGCAGTCCTAAACTTTTCTGTTTTCTGCTTGGTCTTTGCTTTTCAAATTCATCCACAGCACTGTCCCCAACATCAAGCTACAGAGAACAGACAGAAGGGGAGGGGGGAAAGGTCATGGTTAACATCCCAAAGGAAAAATTACAATGACTGCCCCTGGCAAGACTACAGGGTGTGTGTGGCACTGGCGTGGCAATACCAATCCATCCCAGCCAAGGTTCTGATTAAAATACATGTTTAAATCTAATTTTCTTAACGTTGGACCTATTGTCCTTCCTGGACTGAGTTTTTCCTCCTCCGTATCAGGGAGCAGAGTCCATAGACCGAAGTTTAAAAATTGATGAATGTGGCTGCGCACAGTTGCTATGGCCTTGCTGCCAAGGTGCTCGTTCAGGCAGCAGAAGCAGCACTGCCGGAAGCTCTTCGGAGATGTGGAGTCTGCGGCCGCGTCCCGGAACAGCTGCGCAGAAGCCGTCCTTTCACAAGCTGGTGATTCTTACTGACATGAAGTTGGAGATGCACTGACCCGCGCCGCATTCCCAAACTGTTGTCTATTTTATGATGTACCAAGCACTGATGAAACCACAAGGGCTGTTAAGCTGTAGCCTTTCTTACCCTTTCTTATTGTCAGGACGCTGAAGTAGCATCCTTTTCTTATCAATACACATTTGAAAATGGTTCCATTAAAGCCCCAAGAATATTAAAAGCTTTCCTCACAAATAGATTCAAGGAGAAATGCAATATGATTATCAGAAAATAGATTCAGAAAGAGCATTTGATAATTTGAACATTTATTCATGATTTTCACAAATGCTCTTAGAAAACTAGGAAAAAGGGCTAACTTCTTCCTCGAGAGTACTCATGAATCTCAGAAGTAAATGCATCTGTGGGAAAGCCTTACAAGTATTTTCTTAAAACTAGGAAAATGATAGAGATGTCCGTGATCACTGCTCCGCTTCTACACCACCCTGGAGATCCCAGTCAGTGCATGAGGAAAAGAAAAGGACATGAGGAACAGGGGTTGGAAAGGAATAAGCAAGACTTCCATTCTGCAGAAGAAAAATTGTTCGCTGAAAAGAATCTTAGGCGGGTTATTAAAAATACGGATTTAGCAAAGTAGCTGAATAGAAGATATGTCTTAAAAATAAGCTGTGTTCCTATACAGCAGCAACAGAGAATGGATGGAAAGGGACAACATAATAGCAACAAGAATGATAGTTATTTCCGAACTGGTCTGGGGTGGTGGTGCACACCTTTAATCCCAGCACTCGGGAGGCTGAGCAGGAGGATCACTGCAAGTTCCAGGCCAGCCTGGGCTACAAAGTGAGTTCCAGGCCAGCATGAACTGTGTAGTGAGACTCTTGTCTCAAACAAACAAACAAAAAATACATCTAGGAAAATCAATTTGTATAAATACTAAAACTTAGGTCTTATGGGACAGTACTTTAAACTTGGAGAAATGTATTATCTTTATGGAAAGGAGGACCAGTACCATAATTAGGTTAATTCTTCAAATTTTCAGTTTCAATTAAAACCCAATCTAATATATATATATGAGGACAAAAGAGAGCTAGGAATAGTTATGCTATACACTTGAGGAAAATAAGGTGAAGTCCTGCTTTACCTATTACCAGGCTTTTTTTTTTTTTTTTTTTTGAGGAACTGGGGATTGAACTCAGTCAGGCCCGTGCGCTTGGCTGGGAAGCACTTATTCTACTGAGTCATCTCCTCGGCCCCAAGGACTTATTAAAACATGGTGTTGGACAGCCAGCCAGCTAGCTCGTGGACTAAAGTACCTCCTTAGGCAAGCACAGTGGCCCGGGTTCAATCCCTGGTGTGCAGTGCCAGCCCCACCCCTGGAGTGCACTGGGATGGCACCTGAGACCGGGTGTGGTGGTGCGAGCCTGAAATCCTGGGGCCTGGGAAGCTGAAAAGAGGCAGGTCACTAGCTGTCCGATCTACACAGTGAGACACTGTACACCGGTAGCCCCTGTACTAAATCAAGAAAAAAAAAAAGGGAAAACATGGCATTGACACAATAGCTGACAAACTGAATGACCGAACAGAAAAGTCTTGAAACCAGCACAGAGACAAAGACTGACTTAGGAGAGAAGCAGCACTGTCACTGGGGGAAGGGGACGTGTTTCCAGACACACCACGGGGGGACCAGTGATAATCCAGACAGAAACCCAGAGTAATACTCTGACTCATGCACAGAAAGCCCATTCCAAATAGACTGAGGTTTAGGACTAGAAAGCAAATTA